TCTTATTGGTCACTGTTTTTCGTTAATAACTCGTTAACGGTGCCTCGGAGAACATTTTTGTAAAGGAAGAAGTTGCTTCAAATGATCCGAGGAACCTGCCATTTCCGGATTGCGAGACATTTTTGTGACACCCTGTAGACTGTTGTAAATCGATGTGAAGACAAAAGAAGTGTGAAATAATGCATATGAAGACGATTATTTGGTTCAAACGATGAGCGAGTGAGCTACTAGAGCAAGCCACTATAGTGACGCGTCGTCCAGAGAGATGACAGCCGCGAAAGCCACTATAGTGGCATGTCGTTCTAAAAGATGATATCCGCGGAAGCCACTATAGTGGCGCGTCGTGCCTAAAAAAAGGTTTATCATTCGAGTATAGTCGTATTATAATATGATAATATTTCCAAATCCATGCAATGTCTTCAATTTCGCATTTTACTTATTATTATTATTATTGTACTTGTATTATTATAAACGCATAAAATCCGTCGTCTAATTATTAGCTTGGCCAAATGTCGAAAGAAAAACCTGTAGCAGCTATACGAAATCTTGTTCACCTCCGATTACGTTACGAGTTCGTTGCAAATCCGGCGATTGTTAGCAGCGGAGGAGGACCTACGATCGACAGGTATTGTCCTCTCTTTCTCTCTCTCGTCTCTGTCTCTTCGTCTCACCGCTTTCATCGATCACCGAGCCAAGGCGAGGAGAAAAGGAAGAGACAAGCCTGGCGAACGATCTTGAAAATCCGAGCGAGTGTCAACGGCCCCGGGTTATCGTTTCAGAGGAGGAACCCGGTTTCGCTCGTTTCCCCGGCACGCTCTCCGTCTCGGATGCACGAGACGCTATAAGTTGACGAGGATAGCCGGCCGTCAGGCCACAGCTTTCTTCGCAAACTTTCACTCGTAAGCAAACGACTCCTACGACACGCGGCGCGGGTTCAAGAACCCCGATGGTGGATTCGAGCGCCGGTGGTTTCCTCGAGAAAGATCTCGCCCGTTCTCGAAACCGTTGATCTCCGGAGAAACGGGCGTGTTGGAAGCCATTGTTGTCTAGATCTTCGTAATACCGTTCGGTTCCGTGTTTCGTTCCCCTTCGATTCGAGTTCGAAACGAAGAGCCGTTTCGACCGTTAACTTTAAAGCGGTACCGAAAGTGAAGAACGCGAAGCCGTGTCGACAGAAATTTCCATTCGCAT